AATAAACTACAAAACTACAAATGACAAATGACAAAACCATACATAACCTGACAAAAAGTAACAACAAACAAAGAAAAAGATGGCTTCCAATGCTCTTCATTGCAGGTATATCTCAGCCCTTCATTTCCACCTGTCTTTCTTCTAACTATTAATTACTCCGCATCTATGTAAATAACACATATTAATTAAGAAAACCAACAACCCTCAAGCTGCCCTCACTCTTTTTCAAAAAGTCAATTAAAAAGTCAATTAGATTACCTTTATATGTTTCACCGAAATATCATTAAAAATCAAGCATTATTAATGATTTCACTTTTGTCCTAATAAACAATAACAATCTTTAGTCACTTTATCCAAACATTCAAAGCCCCTCTCTATTTTTATTATGGCTCAGATACATTGTTATTCAATATTTTAAATTTGTTTGTTCCAAATTTCCAACAATTTCCAGTGGTGCAATTAAACCTTTCATATTCTCCAAAACCAAATAAAATCCAGCCCTTGGCATTTATTGCTTGAGTTTGTACTTCACCTGAGGATTTATTTATTTTTTGAAGTCAATAAAAATTGAACACTCAGACTGCCAGAAATAGTGCACATTAAATTGAGGCACTGCCCTGGCTCAGTGCTAGGGAATCATGGGAACTGTATTTTTTTCTGGGACATTGAGCCTTCTCTGTCAGAGAGCTCTGGTGCCACAATAAAATACAGTTCCCATGATTCCCTAGCACTGAGCCAGGGCAGTGCCTCAATTTAATGCGCACTATTTCTGGCAGTCTGCAAAGGCCCGAAGAATCCTAAATAAGTGCAACCTCCCATAAGCACCAACCCTCATGAGCTTCAGTGTTTCCCCTCCTTCCACCTGATCAGAAGATTGTTATGGTATTATATTATTTTAGTATGTTAGCATTTTATACTATTGTGTTTTATTGCCTGTTTTTTGGATTATATAAGTTGGATGTTCTGCCCTTTGGTGGAAAAGGCATTATAAATAAATGTTGTTCTGGTTATTCTCCATCAAAGGTGCAACCCTCGTCATTCAAAACCGCCACGGTCTTTCCAATGCAAAACCCCTTTCTTTTAAGAAATTCCTCCAGCGCAGCACTCTTCCTCGGCATTCAACGGCTGTTCCCAAAGTAGAGGAGCCTCCCCATCCTTTTGGGTCTCCAAACCCATTGGTACAGACAGCGTCTCCTTCTCCAAAGGCAAATCTGGGTAGGGAATGCCACTTGCTTGCCACCTTTGGCAGGAGAAAGGTAGAGCGGCCCTTTCCCTCCAGCCCCATCTCCATCCAATTGATGGAGTAGACCTACTTCATCTACCCAACCAGAGTAGACCTACTTCATCCATGGGAGCTACCTGAGTGTTGGCTCCCACTCAACACTTGCGTCCCTGGGTCCATTCTAGCTGGGTCTAGCCAACAGGATTGAGCCCACGTTGCCCACGTTTTTTTGGGGAGGGGACTTTGTCTGGAGAGGATGCCATCTGCTCAGCCTGAGACCCATCCGACGACGGAGGAGCCTCCTGGTTTGACTCCACTTTAAGGTCTGTCGCTCCATCCTACGGAAGGTCTTTAGCCTTCTTTACCAAAGAGTACTGGTGCCTGCCAAAACTACAAATCCCAGGAGGATGGAGGATGGAGCCACACACATACACACACATATATATATGCTCCTTCTTTCACAGGAAACGGGTCCCAGAGGCAGAAGAACGGGGA